TTGACTTTGAAATGTGCTTCGCGCCACAAAGGCGTGCAATTTGTCACCTCTCATCTGGCCAGCTGGCTCCGCACCCGCCGCTTTAGCGAGCCTACTTTTCGACCCTCCGGAGCTACAAATCATTGAAAAAACACAATGTTTCGCGTCTTTCCTACCTTTTCGCGCACCTGGATCTTCTTTCTTCGGAGACTTTCTCTTTTTGATCTTCTTTGTTCTTCTCTTCTCTTCTCTAACTCTTCCCATCTCTCCTTTTCATCTGTCCATATTGTCGGAAGTTTGACTTCTAAACTTCCTTCGACAAACCATTACAAACTCAGGTTCGGAAGGTTGCTTAAACCTATTTTCTATGCTTCAGAATTCCACCCAAGACCCGCCGCAATACAAAACCCATGTCGTCTGATCCGGTTTAAACACGGGCGTAATGTGGGATTCCTGCTCGAAATCAATAGCTTAAATTGCGGGCAAACAAGATCGCAAAACTGCGTCGTTACAACCGCTGAATGCGCTTGAACTTAGATGAACTGCAAGTTTACCCCTAGTGCCTAGATTTGGTTCGAGGGAGCAAAGCCGGCAAACTAAACTTCCTACGTGCGGCAAAGAAGATACCATAAAAGGGACAGAGCAGATACCACTTCTTTGAGAAATGCTTGGAAGTCTCTTGGATTGGAAATCATGATCAAGCCTTGATAACTCTGGCAAACGTGGTCAAAAATGTCAGCAAGGTACAAAATCTCAGGAAATTTCAAAACCACAAGCAAACCAAGAATGAGATACTACCCAGAGCCTTCAAACTTCAATTGCAGTCATGTTGTGCGTTCACAGGCGAGGAATGATCTCAGGCCCTGTCTCTTTGAATCACCATGAATCACCCTGATCTATAAGACCTAACAGTCTACCAAATTCCATTGCTTCAGGTCTCATCCTCTTCTTGGGGTTCCGCGCCTTTTAATTCGCTGCTGCAGTTGCTGAACTCCATCGTTCCGTTGTTCTGCATGCTTCCAAAAACAAAAAGCCCCCCACCTGGGCGAATCTGCATCTGATGAGGTGTTTTTCGGAGCAAAGCCAGCAAACTAAACTTCCTACGTGCGGCAAAGAAGATACCCGAAAAGGGACTGAGCGGATACCACTTCTTTGAGAAATGCTTGGAAGTCTCTTGGATTGGAAATCATGATCAAGCCTTGATAACTCTGGCAAACGTGGTCAAAAATGTCAGCAAGGTACAAAATCTCAGGAAATTTCAAAACCACAAACAAACCATTAAAGGACCGGATAACCCCACAAGTCAACTTCTTCCTAAAATGAGTTTCAATGGTTTTAGCAGGGACGGGGAAGGAAGGAAAGACAAAGGAGGTGGTGAAAGATCGAGAAGGTAAAATGGTATGTATGTATGTATGTATGTATGTATGTATGGTACAAGACCCCAACGAAATGGTCATTGCTCTAACACAAAACGGTACAAGACATGAAAGGAGGTCAATGTAGACACTGGCATGCGGCATACCCGCCGACTTTTTCTCGTTGCGAGCAGGCCAATGTTAATCCCGTTAGAGCATAGACACCTGGTCACATTCTTGCAATGTCAATGAGCATGGTTCTTTGCACATTGCGCCAAACCATTGCGCCAAACCAATGTCAAAGCATGTCAGCTCCAGCTGTCACGGAACAAATCTAGGAGAGTTTGTGGACGATTCCAACTGGTGAACTATGAAGACAGCCGCGGCCTGCCCTAAGGTCACAGGCCCGATGACGATGCAAGGGCGAAAAAGTACCTGGCCGCAAAAGGACAGAACGCGTATATGCAGCTAGCTATCAAAGCAACATGCGCAGAAACGATACAATTCAGTCTGTTGCACGAATTGTCACCTTTTCGCTGTGATCCAAATCCTGGCAAGACCTGTAGCACTTCTTCCCGCAGTGGGGCAAACTCTACACATGTCACGAACGGTTTTGATTTGGCCGTCGCGACCCCACTCTTCCCACATTGGGTCAACAATGGGTCTAGGAGCAAACGAAGAGAGTACTACGATGACTTCAACCGGTGACCTACGAAGAAAACCGCGCCTGCCCTAAGGTCACAGGCCCGATGACGATACCAGAACGGAAAAGTACCTGGCCGCAAAAGGACAGCAATGTATATGGAGCTGGTTGTCAAAGCAACAAATACAGAAAGGATAAAATTCACGTTGCCGCACGAATGCCACCTTTTCGCCGTGATCAAAATCTTCACAAGGTCTGTAGCCCCTCTTCCCACAGTGGGGCAAAATGCAGACATGTCACGAACATTTTTAATGTAGCCGTGGCGACTCCAGTCTTCCCACATTGAGTCAACCATGGGGCCCGCAGCTAACAAAAGGTGCGGTGGCCGTCGTCATTTGTTTCCTTATATTCAGAAAGCACTTAAACATGCCACAATCAAACATGCCGAAGCACGCGGAAAGAAGAAACATGCCGGAAGGACCGCATCTTTGCATGCAAATGACCAATTTCACTTGACTGACTCGTTGTAGTTGTGGTTGAGTCGTATGCATGCTAGAGATGTTTTCCGCAAAAACTTCACTGACGACTTGTAATTGTGGTTGTAGTCTTTACCTTGCTCGACTGACTAGTCGTAGTTGTGTTGTAGCGGTATGCGTGCTAGAGCTGTTGTCTGCAACTTCTAGTTGGGCCAAAGCGACGCAAAACGACCGTGGATGTAAGATTGTGCCACGCCTGCCACGCAGAAGTGAAGCGACGCCACCGGCGTCACGCCCGCCTACCGGGCCCAAGGGCGCCACCCAGTACCATAAGTGCCACGCCTGCCACGCAAAACGACGGTAGATGTGAGTTTGTGCCACGCCTGCCACGCGAAAACGAAGTGATGTCCCAAGCGCCTCCTGCACGCGATGCCGCGGCGTCATCACGCCGCCTAAAAACCGGGCCCACAAGGCGCCACCCAGTACCATAATTCCACGCCTGCCCGCAAAACGACGGTAGATGTGAGTTTGTGGCCACGCCTGCCACGCGAAACGAAGTGAATGTCACCAAGTCACGCCTAGCCCGCAAATGCCGCTGCGTCACGCCCGCCTAACCGGGCCCAAGGCTCCAGCCCTTACCATAAGTTCCACGCCTGCCCAAACGCAACAAAACGCCGGTAGAATGGAGTTTGTGCACGCCTGGGCCACGCTAACGAAATGAAATGTTCACAAGTGCCACGCCTGCCACGCTAGCTCCCGCGGCGTCAACGCCCGCCTAAAACCAGCCCAAGGGCGCCACCAGTACCAACCATACATTGTCCACCCTGCCACGCAACAACGACGGTAAGATGTGAGTTTTGCCACCCTCCACGCGAAACGAAAAGTGAATGTCACCAAGTGCCACGCCTGCCACGCAGAATGCCGCGGCGTCACGCCCGCCTAACCCGGGCCCAAGGGCGCCACCCAGTACCATAAGTGCCACGCCTGCCACGCAAAACGACGGTAGATGTGAGTTTGTGCCACGCCTGCCACGCGAAACGAAAGTGAATGTCACCAAGTGCCACGCCTGCCACGCAGAATGCCGGCGGCGTCACGCCCGCCTAAACCGGCCCAAGGGCGCCACCCAGTACCATAAGTGCCACGCCTGCCACGCAAAACGACGGTAGATGTGAGTTTGTGCCACGCCTGCCACGCGAAACGAAAGTGAATGTCACCAAGTGCCACGCCTGTGACGCAGAATGCCGCGGCGTCAAAACGACGGTAGATGTGAGTTCGTGCCACGCCTGCCACGTGAAACGAAGGTGGATGTGAGGTTGTGCCACGCCTGCAACGCAAAGCGACGGTAGATGTGAGTTTGTGTCAGGGAGGCGATGGTATGTGAAATTATTGTATGTTAAAGTTGTGTGTGTGTTATTGTATGTTATGTGAAAGTGTGTGTGTATGTGAGTGTATGTGAAAGTTTGTATGTTATGTGAAAGTGTGTGTGTGTATGTGAGTGTATGTTAAAGTTATGTGTGTGTTATTGTATGTTATGACTGTATGTTAAGTTTGTGTGTGTGTGAAATTATTGTTGTTGTATGTGTCAGGGAGGCGGCGGGAGGAGAAGGCGTGCCGGAGAAGGAGCCCGGGATACAGAATCAAAAACAAGAACCCCACACAAAGATGTGGGGAAAAAATGAGATACTACCCAAAGCCTTCGAACTTCAATTGCATTCATGTTGTGTGTGTTCACAGGCGAGGAATGATCTCAGGACCTGTCTCTTTGAATCACCCTAGTTTAGACCTAACAGTCTACCAAATTCCATTGCTTCAGGTCTCATCCTCTGCTTGGGGTTCCGCGCCATAAGATTCGCTGCTGCAGCTGCTGAACTCCATTGTTCCGTTGTTCTGCACCATGCTCTTATCGACGTAGAGCCCACCACCTGAGGAAATCGGGGGGCCTCGCTGCAACCTCCGTGGAGACTTGGGAGCATTTGTGGAGTCTTCGTAGTTTCAAAGTCACCCACTGGACCTTGCGCGACCCTTTTTGGGTTGCAGAAGCGAGGTTGCGAAGCTGGTTTGGGACATTGGCCTTGGGAACCCTGGCCCAAAAACTTCTACAACGTGTAAAACATTGTAAAACTACAAAATCAGAAGTTCCAGAAGTTCCAGGGGTATCGACGGTAACGATCAAATGTCCGGTTTCACCTATTTTCACGGTGTCTTGTTGAGATCCATGTCCTGTGCTGCGGTGTACCAAGCAGTGGCAGGCAACACAATGCGATGTACCAAAAAAAGGGGCGGACTGGATACCACTTCTTTGAGAAATGCTTGAAAGTCTTGGATTGGAAAAGCATTGTCAAGGCAAACGTGGTCAAAAATGTCAGCAAGGTACAAAATCTCAGGAAATTTCAAAACCACAAACAAACCAAAAATGAGATACTATCCAAAGCCTTCGAACTTCAATTGCATTCATGTTGTGTGTGTTCACAGGCGAGGAATGATCTCAGGACCTGTCTCTTTGAATCACCCTAGTTTAGACCTAACAGTCTACCAAATTCCATCGCTTCAGGTCTCATCCTCTGCTTGGGTCTCCATGCCGTTAAATAATCGGCTGCTGCAGTTGCTGAACGCTATCGTTCCGTTGTTCTGCACCATGCTCTTTTCGACGTAGAGCCCACCACCTGGGCGAATCTGCAACTTTTCAACCCACCGCCGAAGCCCCCCACCTGGGCGAATCTGCATCTGATGAGATGTTTTTCGGAGCAAAGCCAGCAAACTAAACTTCCTACGTGCGGCAAAGAAGATACCCGAAAAGGGACAGAGCAGATACCACTTCTTTGAGAAATGCTTGGAAGTCTCTTGGATTGGAAATCATGATCAAGCCTTGATAACTCTGGCAAACGTGGTCAAAAATGTCAGCAAGGTACAAAATCTCAGGAAATTTCAAAACCACAAACAAAACAAAAATAAGATACTACCCAAAGCCTTCGAACTTCAATTGCATTCATGTTGTGTGTGTTCACAGGCGAGGAATGATCTCAGGACCTGTCTCTTTGAATCACCCTAGTTTAGACCTAACAGTCTACCAAATTCCATCGCTTCAGGTCTCATCCTCTGCTTGGGGTTCCGCGCCATGAGATTCGGTGCTGCAGCTTCTGAACTCCATCGTTCCGTTGTTCTGCACCATGCTCTTATCGACGTAGAGCCCACCACCTGAGGAAATCGGGCGTCTTGACGAGTTTGGCTCCAACATCCGTGGCGACTTGGGACGACATTTGCGAAATCTTAGTGTTTTCAAAGTTTACCGGTTTGCCTTCTCCAGACGCCCAAGAGATAGAAAAGCTTTAAACCCAGAGGTTCCAAGGGTCGTCAGGAGCTGTAACACTGAGAAAAACATCGAAATCAAGGCCTGGTTGGGAGACTTCGATGTGGTTTCACATTGGGTATTGTTGATATCCATGTCTGCGATGCACTGAAAAAGGGGCAGAGTGGATACCAGGAAAGCAACGTCAGGCGGTCCGAACTTTGGCAAAACGCAGCCCCATGTCAACAAAAAGTCCAATGACATTCAACTAGCATGCTCAAAAGTAGAAAGGATACACCGGTGGTATGCTATGAAATTTTGGGCAATTCCAAAATCAAGAATCACGCAGTAGTGGAACTTCTTTTTGCGATCAAATGTTATGGGGCGACGGATGGGATCAATCCTCTTTGAATCCCGTTTAGGCCCAAAAGTTCCAACAGTTCACAAAATTTGGGACTCCACGCCATTGCGCTTGCTGCTGCAGTTGCTGAACACCATCGTTCCGTTGTTCTGCGCTATGCTTTCATTGACATAAAGCCCACCACCTGAAGAAATCGGGAGGCGTCTTGGCCCGAATTTTCCCGAAGTTTCTGATGCGCAGGAGCATCCTGAACTCAAAAATCAAACTAACCGAACAAAAAATTGAGACATCCTTCGCCATGTTCGAACAAAAACATCGTAGTCTGCAATGGTTTTTGGTCTGCTAAATTCAAGCAATAACAACGACAACCCTGCAAAAAGTGGTGTGTTGAAAGGGTGTGCCAAAATGTCGTGACAGGAACTACCATCACAATCTGTGGCGTTCAAATTTGATGACAAGTTTGCAATGTTTGAAACTTGGTCAACGAAAAAATGACTCTTTGGGGTGCTCCTGCATGAAAAAACATGTTGTGTTTACATGTTCCTACCCCGATTTTGGGGTGCCACGATATGTTTTAAAAAAAGTGGCGTTTGCCATGGTTTGGAAGGATGGTCAAGCCGAAATTGCGTTTAAAAATAAAAACGTGTCGCAGGTTGGCCAGAGCCGAAAACAAATTAATCCAGTTTTTTCAACTCAACAGCAAAAGGTTCCAGCAAGGTTCCAGGGCTGTTCCGGTTTTTCGGGGCGTGCATTTTCGTGTCACCAGTCCACGGCCACAGAGATACCCAACACATTCGCTGATGGGAACTAGGATGGACGGTGATGCAGTACCAGACATAAAAGCGATACTGTTATTTGCATTTATTTGCGTCCTACGTATGTTTCGAAAAAAGGTTGACATGATCAACATGCACGCACCGATATTAGCGACAAACAATGGGCTTCACGATGCGCGCGCGCGGCGGCATAGGATCCAACATCACAACAGGAACAACTGGAAAGCCGTGCGAGGCTACAACAACTAGTCAGCACCCCGGGAAAATCAAAATATATCAAAATATACAGGAAAGCCTAACAAATTCTGTTAAGTTAGTTGGACAGGTGACCGCCAAAAGGCACTACACTCACTTGCGCACCTAGAAATTCACTCACTTACGCACCTGGGAAATGCACTCACTTGCGCACCTAGAAAATCACTTACTTACGCACCTGGGTCTCCATTTTAAACGTAAATTACCAGGAAATTACGCTATCACGCATTGCAACCAAAGCGCCACGAAACCTTTAGGGTTTTTATCTTGTTGCATTTTGTTCGTAAATTACCAGGAAATTACGCTATCACGCGTTGCAAACAAAGAGCCACGACACCTTTAGGGTTTATATCTGGTTGCATTTTATACGTAAATTACCACGACATTATGCTATCACACATTGCAAACAAAGAGCCACGACACCTTGAGGGTTTATATCTTGTTGCACTTAATGTAAGAAGAGCCACGACACTTTCAGGGTTTATATCTTGTTGCACTTGATGTAAGAAGAGCCACGACACCTTTAGGGTTTTATATCTTGTTGCACTTGATGTAAGAAGAGCCACGACACCTTTAGGGTTTATATGTTGCTGGACTTGATGTAAGAAGAGCCACGACACCTTTAGGGTTTATATCTTGTTGCACTTTATGTAAGATGAGCCACGACACCTTTAGGGTTTATATCTTGTTGCACTTGATGTAAGAAGAGCCACGACACCTTTAGGGTTCATATCTTGTTGCACTTAATGTAAGAAGAGCCACGACACCTTCAGGGTTTATATCTTGATGCACTTGATGTAAGAAGAGCCACGACACCTTGAGGGTTTATATCTTGTTGCACTTGATGTAAGAAGAGCCACGACGCCTTTAGGGTTTATATCTTGTTGCACTTGATGTAAGAAGAGCCATGACACCTTTAGGGTTTATATCTTGTTGCACTTAATGTAAGGAGAGCCATGACACCTTTAGGGTTTATATCTTGTTGCACTTGATGTAAGAAGAGCCACGACACCTTTAGTGTTTATATGTTGGTGAACTTGATGTAAGAAGAGCCACGACACCTTTAGGGTTTATATCTTGTTGCACTTGATGCAAGAAGAGCCACGACACCTTTAGTGTTTATATGTTGTTGAACTTGATGTAAGAAGTGCCACGACACCTTTAGGGTTTATATCTTGTTGCACTTTATGTAAGATGAGCCACGACACCTTGAGGGTTTATATCTTGTTGCACTTAATGTAAGGAGAGCCACGACACCTTTAGGGTTTATATCTTGTTGCACTTAATGTAAGAAGAGCCACGACACCTTCAGGGTTTATATCTTGTTGCACTTGATGTAAGAAGAGCCGCGACACCTTTAGGGTTTATATCTTGTTGCACTTGATGTAAGAAGAGCCACGACACCTTCAGGGTTTATATGTTGCTGGACTTGATGTAAGAAGAGCCACGACACCTTTAGGGTTTATATCTTGTTGCACTTGACGTAAGAAGAGCCACGACACCTTTAGGGTTCATATCTTGTTGCACTTAATGTAAGAAGAGCCACGACACCTTCAGGGTTTATATCTTGTTGCACTTGATGTAAGAAGAGCCACGACACCTTTAGGGTTTATATCTTTTTGCACTTGATGTAAGAAGAGCCACGACACCTTTAGGGTTTATATCTTGTTGCACTTGATGTAAGAAGAGCCATGACACCTTTAGGGTTTATATCTTGTTGCACTTGATGTAAGAAGAGCCACGACACCTGGGTTTATATCTTGTCTCACTTGATGTAAGAAGAGCCACGACACCTTTAGGGTTCTTGATATGTTGTTGCACTTAATGTAAGAAGAGCCACGACACCTTCAGGGTTTATATCTTGATGCACTTGATGTAAGAAGAGGGTTTATATCTTGTTGCACTTGATGTAAGAAGAGCCACGACGCCTTTAGGGTTTATATCTTGTTGCACTTGATGTAAGAAGAGCCACGACACCTTTAGGGTTTATATCTTGTTGCACTTGATGCAAGAAGAGCCACGACACCTTTAGTGTTTATATGTTGTTGAACTTGATGTAAGAAGTGCCACGACACCTTTAGGGTTTATATCTTGTTGCACTTTATGTAAGATGAGCCACGACACCTTTAGGGTTTATATCTGGTTGCACTTGATGTAAGAAGAGCCACGACACCTTTAGGGTTTATATCTTCTTGCACTTGATGTAAGAAGAGCCACGAAATAAGTAGAAGGACAAGTAGGAATAGAGCTGAAAGTAGAAGTGGAAGTAGAATGAGAGGTGCAAGTAGAGGTAGAAGTGGAAGATTCTCAGGTGCACAAGCGAGACGATTCTCAGGTGCACAAGCGAGTACCATGCCCCGCCAAAATCATCCGATGCCATTTTCTCCACAGATTGACATGAAGACAATGGTTCCACCGCGACGTTGGTCAACAATTGAAGGCGAAACTTTGATTTGCGGCGAACTCTTTAGACTGTGGAAACTTGATAGACAACTTATCAAAACTTATCAAATATCGCTGGCGTTGCGTGACATAAATGACATACTCTCATCCTTTCATCTTCCCTTCGGACTTGCATTTATTTGCGTCCTACGTATGTTTCGAAAAAAGGTTGACATGATCAACATGCACGCACCGATATTAGCGACAAACAATGGGCTTCACGATGCGCGCGCGGGGCGGCATAGGATCCAACATCACAACAGGAACAACTGGAAAGCCGTGCGAGGCTACAACAACTAGTCAGCACCCCGGGAAAATCAAAATATATCAAAATATACAAGGAAAGCCTAACAAATTCTGTTAAGTTAGTTGGACAGGTGACCGCCAAAAGGCATTACACTCACTTGCGCACCTAGAAATTCACTCA